TTATCAGGGACAATGTGGGACAGATGTGGCTTTTTTAGGTCTGTGCTTCTTTTGTGATTTCACCTCTACATTGTTGCTTTAAGTCCCGCTCCCCTTGTACCAAATAGAAAATAACTTTAGCACACTTAATAAAAATATGCAAATCACTTGTAACTGGCCATCCCCCAGTTAAAAGCTATTCTGTAGTCTTTGTTGTCGCTGTTTTTCTTTTAAACCTAGTCTACATCATGTTTTGTCTTAAAGTTTTTTACTTGTTTTGAATTAAAAGCATTATCCACAGGTCGGTCATTATGTGGGTTGCCAGAGCAGAGCAGCTATATGGCTATTGTTACAGAGCTTTGTTCTCCTGGTTTAGTTTTTAGACTCTCCACCAGAGGGTGTCCTGGAGACTGGTTGCTGGGTTCGGTGTCTCATCTCCCGCTTTATCTTCTACAGTTGCAGCTCATTAGCTTGTTCACTTCACTTTCCATGCAGCTTAAGTGGAGCAGACCAGTCACTCGATGTCTAAGGATTAACTGTCACTTGTAAACTCTGAGCCACTTCATGTGCTTCTCTAGGTGATTTCTGAGATTGTTCTGGATAGATTTGAAAAGCCTACCTGGGACAATCCTATCCTGCTTGTAATTTCTTATTATCTCTCCTTCTGAAGCTAACCTTATGCATTCCAGTCCACCCTGTGATTGTTCCTAACTTGTTTTCTAAAGATTTCACATTGCTCATAATGATTCATGGAAGAGACAGCCTATATTTCTGGCTTCTCTCCATTGCTTCTGGTCTGAATCCTCAGCACCACCTTTTCAACCTACTTGGTACTTATGGAAGTAGCTGAAGCATTATTTAATTATTACATATGTTGATGAGCTAACCACGGATGTAAAACAAAATGAAATATCTATCTATATACATCATAATATCTATCTATATACATCATCTGATGGTGTCAACCAATGAGTCCAAAAGGCCAGTGCAGAGCAGCTCTGTCAGATTCTACAGCACTTCATCAACCTTACTGTGACTTAGGAGAGACATCCAGTGATCTGGAAGACCTTCTGCCTTGTTCTGGTGCCAAAGAAATCTGTCAAGAGTCCTGAGTGGTTATAGACCACCCCACATCATGAAAGTCGTAGTAGACTTCTTTAGCGGCATCTGAGCAAAAAAATGTTTGCTTATTGACATGGCAATGCAGTTGAAGATGTAAACCTGCTTCAACAAACCAACTGTCATTTAGACAAGGTTGAAAGCACTGTGAGGATCATGTTCTTTGATTTCTCCTGCGCATTTACCAGCATTCATCTTGACTCAATTTGTTAAAAATGTCAGAAGACTTAGATGGAGCTTGAGGGATCAAAAATTACCGGGATAAAACACAACCTGACAAACAAATTGAAATTATTTTGTGAGACAGAAGGGTCCAATTAAGTAGTTAGCGGCAAAGAACCACCTCAGGGAGCAGTACTATAACTACTCAGGCGCCTCAGGGGACTGTCCTCTCCCCCTTCCTCTTCACCCTTTTCACCTCGGACTTCAGCTATTGCTCTGAGTCCTGACACCTTCAGAAGTTTTCTGATGACTCAGCAATTGTTGGCTGCATTGAAAAGGGTGGGGAGAGTGAATACAGGACTGTGGTGGGCAACTTTGTCACTTGGAGTGAGCTGTACTACCTGCAGCTCAACGTGACAAAGACTAAGGAGCTAATAGTGGATCTGAGGAGGACAAAAACACCTGTGACCCCTGTTTCCATCCAGGGGGTTCCTGTTGACACTGTGGAGGAGTAGTGTACTTGAACAATAAGTTGGACTGGACTAGAAACACCGAGGCGGTCTACAAAAAGGGCCAAAGCCGACTATTCTTCCTGAGGAGGCTGAAGTCCTTTAACATCTGTGGGACAATGCTGAGGATGTTTTATGAGTCTGTTGTTGCTAGCACGCTCTTCTTTGCTATCACACGCTGGGGCAGTAGGTTGAGGGTCGCTGAAAACAACAGACTGAACAAACTGATCAAGAGGGCCGGTGATGTTGTGGGGGAACAGCTGGACACCCTGACCACCGTGGCTGAGAGGAGGATGCTGTCCAGGTTTCAGTCCATATTAGACAATGACTCACATCCTCTCCATGACACACTGGTCCAGCAGACGAGGTCCCCCCCCCCTAATTGACATTTATGAACTATTTTTGCATGCCACGTATCACTTGGACTTGGATGTATCACTTTACTTGGATTTTCACTATATTTGGATTTAGTTTTTACATATGCATAGATATACCTACAGATATATATACAGAATAGCTATATGTGTATATATTTTATCTCTTTTTATTCTTATTTTTTATCTTTTTTACATTGTATAGTTGGATGTGTGTATATATTATATAAAACTGTAACTGGAGAGTGTAAGAAAAGTAATTTCCCTCTGGGATTATTAAAGTATTTCTGATTCTGATTCTGATTGTTAGGTACATCAAAGATGGACAAGAAGCTAAGTACAAGAAGTAGGATAATGCATTGCTTGAATATGAACAATTCTGGTTCTGATTTTGATTCCTCGTACCGATTCCAGTTCCAATTAGTTCTCGATTCGGATTCCTTTAAGAAGAAAAAGAATCATATAAGCTTACAATTTATCAATGAGCTGGCTAACCAGAGTTCTGTCTGGATGAAAAAGTCTGAACTTCTTAACCTCTCGCCGGCAATATAAAGCATTTAGAATTACTAACTCAAAAAGCATGAAAATTCCAACAGTAAAATGTTTACCAATATAGACATGATAGACATCGTTGGAAAGCTTAGAATCTTCACAATTCAACTGCCAAGTTCATTGTATGGACATAGCGAGTAACAAAGATATAGCAGCATGTCAAAATGTAAACATGACAAAGCAGCCACAACAACATACCTTTGAAGGCATCCAGAAGCAGTTTTATAAAATCCAATCTTCAATACTTTATACGCCATTCTTCCATTAGGGTCCACAGATAAAAAGTAATCCAGCATATTCGTATTTAAACTATTCCATGATAAAAAAGAGGTAATCCCGTAAATGTTCTTTAGGTGTTACTGTGTTTATGTACCTTTGAAGTTCCAGGTCTGAGTCCATCACTACAACCAGATTTACTGAAACAACCAGACTGTAGAATGATCTTGAACTTTGTGAAAACATTACTATTAATCATCACATGGTTATTTTCAACCAGTAATATAATCTTTTGAATTTTCTCTTCAATGAGCTACATTTTGACATGGAGCTTTAATGTTTTAATCCTCCCTTTCCTTGTCCATTGTATATGATCTGACTCCCCAAATAATGTTCAATGAAGGTGAAGGAGAAAGTGATAAGCAAGTTTAAAATGAAAGACTTAAGTAAACTCGCTAATTTTATTGGGATCGATTTCAGACAACAACAAGGTTCTATCAAATTGAACCAGTCCACATTCATAAAGGAAATACTGGGAAGGTTTGGTAAGGCTGAGTGTAAACCCTGGGCCACTCCTTGTAATATCAGATGTGATCTAACTGCAGAGGGGAAACAAGCTGATCAAAGAAAGTACAGACAAATTTTGGGCAGCTTCATCTACATCATGACCTGTTCTAGGCCTGATAGCAGATGGATTGTATGTAAACTGTCACAGCGTGTCTGATCCAAGGGAGAAACATATGACAGCTTTAAAGCATGTGTACAGTTATCTAGAAGGAACAGAAAATTGTGAGTTATACTATGAAAAGAGTGGCAACATATTGGAGCTAATAGTATACTCCAATGCAGACTGGGCCAAAGATGTTACTAACAGAATAAGTACTACTGGCTATTGCTTCAGTCTGAGTTAGAGTCGTGCTATTGTTTCATGTAAACAAGAAAGCAGCAAATGGTTTTATTGTAAATGTGTGAGGCTGAGTATGTAGCACTGGCTGCTACTATTCAAGAAGCTCTCTATCATTCTCAACTATTACAGGACATGGACCACAGTTTTAACAAAAGCTAAAAGTGTTTAAGGTGAACTAAGGGACTATACACCTTTCAAAGAACCCTGTGAATCGCCAGAGGAGCAAGCTTGTGGATATCAGATCAAATGTTTTACAGAGTAAAATTGTTATGGTGTACTGTCCTACAGAGAATATGGTTGCACATGTGTTCACAAAATCTGGCACAAAGGCCAAGATTGAAAAGCTCTATTAATATTGTGTTTGGAAACCAATGTTACAGCCAAAGTGTGTGACACCATTGATTGGGGCTGTTGAGTATGTATGCCACTATTGTATTTTTTGGGTTGGCACTACTTTGTAGAGCGGAAGGCTATGCTCTACTATAAGTAGATAATAAAGGCGGAGCCTCCCGTGTGTTGCCCTGAGTCGGAGTGGGGCAATGTGGCTACCAGTTCTACGATAGAAAATGTCTCCCTTGTCTTATGAATCTGAGTGAGTTAGCATGTCTGAAAATATGTCTAAACACACTGCAGATCGTGGAGAAGTGTCAGGTTCTCCCAAAGAGATAAATGAGAGAGCTGCTGCAAGAGAGCCAACAACTGTATCAGATGTTTATTGACATGGAATGTCAAAAAATTAAGCAAAAGCTTCTGAAATACAACAGAAAAAGTCAACAAAATAAAATATACAAATTTAAAGTATGACCCATTTAAAATAAACTGGGTTAAATAAAACATTGTGGGTGTGGTTTATACATATGCAAAGATTAACAGAGAAACATACTACTAACACTTAAAATATTACAAGAAGCACAACATATAAAATATCTGGCCTTGAACTGTGATAGATAGATAGATAGATAGATAGATAGATAGATAGATAGATAGATAGATAGATAGATAGATAGATAGATAGATAGATAGATAGATAGATAGATAGATAGATAGATAGATAGATAGATAGATAGATAGATAGATAGATAGATAGATAGATAGATAGATAGATAGATAGATAGATAGATATACTTTAATAAGTATATATATATATATATATATATATATATATATATATATATATATATATACTTTGATAAGTATATATAAATTTTTTCCAGATATTGCTATATTTTCTTTTACTCATGAATAGGGCATATAGCCTCGATGTGCCCACCTTACTCTCTCTTTCTCTCCTCCTTTGGGATTCAGAAAACTGCTGTAGTCCTGTCATCTTCTGATGTGGTCTGTGCTGCTTCTGTGTCTGTACGCCTCCCTCATCAGACAAAAAAGATGCACTTTTCTTTCCCCTTGGTGAAATAACTAGCTTTCTTGTACCACATGCAACATTCACAAAAAAAACAAAATCTCCCAGTGAACAGCCGATTGCAATTGTTTACTTCAGAGGCCCAGCTTAAGAAGCTGTTTTGTTTGCGATGGATCCATCACATATGCAAATCGGTAATATACTGTACATAATATCATGTATCCTGTTATGTCTTTGTACTGGTAGTTAACATTAGTTAATATCATAATGACATATTGGCCTCATTTCCTGAGTGGAGCCATTCAGATGATAAGTGTGGGAAATTTACTTGTATCTTTTGTAAGCAATGCCTTGATTCCATCCCAGGGAGATCCACTCTGCTGGTAAGCAAATTGTCTCCTTTAGGGGGAGAAGCATGGGAGCACTGAGAGTCTTGGTGGTGTTATGTAAAAACTTTCATATAAGAAAAGGTGCTGGAAAAGAATTCGATATAAATATATATTGCAACATACTTATTCAGAAGCAGTGATATGACATTCAAACAAAACCACAATCTAGTATTTTCCCTCTTTTTTATTTATTTTTTGTATAAATGAAAACTTTAGCTGTGTTCATTAAATCAATGTGAATATCAATCAGCATTAAAAATACATATTTTTAAATAGTTTTTTTTTTTTTGGTTTGTATTTTCAAGCATTTATGTGTTCAATAAGACATTATAAAAGCTTTACTGATGAAGAAAAAAGTTTTTTTTATCAAACCTTTGTCGATATTATTTTCCAAGACAGATAGATATTTCTTTCAACCAATACTATCCTATTAAAACAATAAACCTTGCTACATATTTACAAAACATTATTTTTGTGCACAGACTGATCTGTGATTATATAATTTAGAATGTCAGCATTCAGCATAAGTCTAGATTTTATGATACTGACATGTATCACTTGACTTGTCAATCATATTCCTATGTTAAATATCACTATTGAAAACCACTTTTGAATATATCCTTTCTTCTGTCTTTATTTCCCTTTTCTTCTTTCCTTTTTGCTCCTTCCCTCCAGAGAAATACAATGCAGCATAATTTAGATCCTGTCTATTTTCACTCTGTGGAAGAAAACATAAATAAATATACTTATTTAAAATGTGCCAGTACTGTTGACTATTATTACAGTCAAACTGTTGCAATAGTAATTTAGTTTTTTTCACCTCATTTATTGGTTGGCTTAAGTCCCTGCTATTTGCTTCAGAAGAGAAACTTTCTGTGTAGACAGAACAAACGTCTGAAGACAGAGTAATATTCACCTAAAACTTTATCTAAAACATTAGTTTGATTCTGTAATTTTCTATAATAAGATTAATTATTAATTGAATCAATCAAATTAAAATGAAATATACCTACCTTTACATTGGGTACAGACTGATCTTTGAGAACAGTAAAAAATAGAAATAATATTGAAGATCACAGAAATAGCCAAGCTGATTAAAGTGATCATCCACACAGTCCTTTCACCACTTGTTTTCTCTAAAATAAAAAAAAGTAAAGCATATCAGAAAAACATAATTTTCTATAACACATAAATAACATGATGCACAATACCTTGATTGCTCTTCGCCACCTTGGTTCCATTTCCAAATATTATCTCTCCACATGTAGCCACAGCACAATAATAGGTGTCTGCTTCAGAGGAGCTGACATTCTTAGAGAAGTTGTAACCACATTTCTTCTGATTATCTGATTGCTTTTCACAATTTTGATTTCTTTTTTCATCGATGTAGATGACGTCTGGATAGGATGTGTCGGATCTGGCTCTGAACCAGAACACACTAGGTTCTCCTGAACAGGTTCTGTTTTCAGAGTAAGACAGGACTGAACACTGCAGAGTCTCTAAGTTTGTTGGACCAGTGGGACCAGAAACGGATTTCTCCTGAACAACAGTGTAGGCTGATGTCTTCTGAGAGTTTCCTATGAAGAAACAACAAACCAACATGACAAAAGGTCTACCGTCTTGATATAATCTGAAAATGCTTACATTTTTTTTAAACTGAGAAAGAAATAAGAATTTTACTGCCTTTTGAAATGTGCATTCAACCCTTTAACACATATTGATGTTAAACTCTGCTTCTAAAATTAGACCTAAATTGATGATGAAGTTCATACCCTTTACATACAGCCTGCCTTTTTACCCACTCATCACAGTAAATATAGCAAAGCCACTCTCTGCCACTGAACACAGGAGCAGTACAAGCATCATATGCATCTTTACATTCTTTACTGGAAACGCTTCCAGAGTGTCAAAGATGGTCATGAAGTCCGTCTGAGCTTCAGGTGTACAAGCTTAAAAAATGAAGCAGCAGGGGAGAGTCTAAATTTCAAAATTTCTCAGGGGAGGACACTCCAGGACCTTCCTACGCCATGCAAAGCCTGAAGATGTGATACACCAAGGTGTACACACTGTGAAATATTCCTAGCTAAAAGCCTGGTACTAATTGATGTAAATATGTTTCAGACTGTAAACAAAACTAATAGAATAAACCCGGATATCTATTAAAATAAGGATTTTTACTCAGAGATTATATTCTACAGAGATTTTGTCACAAACATAAACCAGCTGTATTAGATTATGATAAGCCGTATTTTATAGAAACTTTCCAACAAGAATTTTAAATATTCTATCTCTGAATGTTGAGGAAACAATGTGAAAATAAAAAATTCAGACTTTCGAAACTTTAGAAATGTTATTACCAAGACATTTGTTACTAATTTTAACTAAGAGCAAGTTTTAGGTATGAAAAATACCCGACATGTACCTCTCAAGGTCAAATAAGTCCCAGTCCAAGTAGATTGAGTCCAGTCCATATGAGCGCAGTGATACATCCCCTCATCTTGTTGAACTGTTGACAAAATGATCAAGTTGCTTTTGTTTTCATTATATGTAATTTCAAATCTTGATGCTGAAAATCCCCGTGCATAGATGGGAGTCACACTTTGATACACCTTTGCAATTAGTTGTAGAGTATTTCCCACACTCTGCTTGTACCAGTGAACCTGAACCTTTCCAGTTAAATGGCAAGTCAAAGTTATAGGCTCTCCAAGCTGAACTGTGATGACAGGAACTAACGTATCTGCAATACATAAGAAGTTAAGAGGTAAAAAAATAAATCAAAGATCATTTTAAGTGTAGTTTACAGAGCACAGATAAGGCAGGCAAAAGATGATCTAAAGTTTTTAAATCAACTTACATCCTTGATGAAGAAGAAATGGTATAAGCCACAGCAGAGTCATGTTGACAATGTCCTTATACTGTAAGGACACAACATTTACTTAAGTAACTGAAGGAGGTGTGGTAATCCAGAGCGTAAGAAGCATCTGATTGGTTCCCATGAAATTTTCCAAAAAACAGGGCTTGCTGCCACAATGAGACAAAGAAAAAAAAACAACCTCAAAATGAACAACAATTTCTTTTTTATGATCTGGTTGAACTGTATATGATCTGGTTGTAACTGTAAAGTGCCTTAAGATGACTTGTGTTGTGAATTGGCGATATATAAATAAACTGAATTGAATTTTATCAACAACCTGCTGTTATTGAGCTATTGCGGGGTCTGATTTCCTTGATCATACATTTTGTAAAGTTATAAATATGTTAGGCTCTTTATTATCAGGAATTCCAGAAACTGTAGTTAAATCCTACAGCTGCTCCAGAATGCTTCAGCCAGGGTTCTGATAGAAATTTAAAAGAGAAATGATATCTCTCCTATCCTACCTCCTCTTCATTGATTTCCTGTTAAATCAAGAGTAGAATTTAAAATCCTCGTTCTCACATATAAAGCCTTAAATGGCAAAGTTCTACCATACATCACAGATATGATTATTCCTTATGTTCCTAACAGAGCTCTCAATCTGCAGGTGAATAAATCTGTCAGATATACAGGTAAGAACTTGAACAATCTATTAAAATTTTATCGCCTAATTATCCAAGCATGTATTCATAAATTATCTTTGTGGATCTGTATTCCAAATTCTCAATTTTTAATATCACATTTTTTTGTTATATTAAGTAGTTAAATGTACAGATCTTTTTCAGCATCATGTTAGTGGCTTTTCTACAGTTAAAATAATAATAAATGGGGGAATTAACGGTCAATAACCTGATGTTACATCAAAACTACAACAACTATCACATCCATGAATTTCCATTTTGAATTGAAAAAGCGTCCTGGATGGAATGACTATGACCTGAATGACTAAAAATCTTCACGAGCACACATCCACGACAAAGAGGGATATTACAAACACATTTTTGACTGCTTTAACTTTAATTTATTTATTTAGAAAATTGTAGCCCCAAAGTCAGTGATGTGTGATGAGGTTCATGGTTGGTGAGGCACTGGCTGACTGACTGAGACACCACCTCCAAGGAAGAGGAAATTAATCAACAGATTGATGGACTGGAGAAAGTCCCATCACTTCTAAAAGGAGCTCAATATCATCACCAAGACTAAAAATTCCAACAGCATTATCAGTAAGTCTACACTGTGTGCCAAATTCCTGGCACAGTCATCCCGATACAATATCAGCGGTCTTAGACAACATTACTATATTGTACAAGGTAGTTACCAGAGTAGGCCACAGGATGGCAATGTTTTACTGTTCATGCTTGTTGAGGCTGCCATCTTGATGCAGTCTCTTGCTGAGTTCGAATTCAGCGGGTGCATCATCCGAAGGCCAGATTCATGGGCAATTACGTCCTAGCATGCCGCTGAGGTCTGTTTGTGGCAAGACTACACGTTATGCAGCCAACAAATGCATCCTTCTTTTTGCTCGTTTTGAAGGATCGCTCCTGTGTCCGGTGTATCCTACATAGCCTGGAGTATCTTGTGATTCATTGCTGGTCCAAGCAGCTGCTCTGTGCACCTTTGTTTTTCTAAAGGATCTTTTTGCCAATGCTCCTGTACTCGTTCAACCTGATCTCACCAAGCAGTTTTTGGTGAGGGTTGACGCCTCTGATTCAGGTGTTGGAGCCGTCCTCTCCCAGATTTCTAACACTGATAACAAGTTACACCCTAGTACCTTCTTCTCTCGCAGACTTTCCCCAGCAGAGAGAAACCTTGACTTTTGAGACCGAGAGCTCTTAGCCATTAAGCTAGCTCTTGAGGAGTGGAGACACTGGCTGGAAAGAGCTGCACACCCTGTTCTGGTATGGACAGACCATAAGAACCTGTCACAAATTCAATCCTCCAATAGACTTAACCCTCGCCAATCCCGCTAGTATCTGTTTTTCTCCCGGTTTAACCTCTCCATTTCATTTTGCCCTGGCCATCGGAACGTTCAAGCGGATGCTCTCGCTAGGCAGTTTGCCCCTAATGAATCTGAAGAGTCTGCTGCTCCCATTCTGCCTCCCAGCTGCTCTGTCACCGCAGTTACTTGGGAGATTAAAGACCTTGTCAAGCAGGCCGAGCAGTCTGAGCCTGACCCTGGTACCGGACCCACCAACAGAGTTTTTGTACCTTCATCCATTCGTGCTCAGGTAATTAACTGGCTCCACACTTCCAAGTTTTCTGCCCTTCCAGGTATCAGTCAAACTGTGGCTCTCTTTAGTCGACGTTTTTGGTGGTCCTCCTTACTGAAGGACGTTAAGGAGTTTTTTTTGGCCTGCCCGACCTGCGCTCGGAACAAGTCTTCTCATCAGCCCCCTGCCGGTTTGCTTCAGCCCTTGCCCATTCCCAAGAGACCCTGGTCTCACATTGCAATAGACTTCATCCCTGGACTTCTAAAGGTATGACCACCATTCTCACCATTATTGACCGTTTCTCTAAGGCCTGCCATCTAGTTCCACTGAGGAAGCTCCCCACAGCACTTCAAACAGCCCAACTCCTGGTCAAGCACGTTTTCTGCCTTCATGGGATTCCTCAAGACATCCTCTCTGATTGAGGCCCTCAATTCATCTCACAGGTTTGGAAGGGTTTTTGTTCTGCCCTTGGGGCCAAAGTCTCACTCACTTCTGGCTATCATCCCCAGTCAAATGGTCAAGTCGAGCGTATGAACCAGGAGTTGGAGGCCAGCCTCAGCTGTCTGTCTGCTTCCAATCCCACCAATTGGAGCCAGTTTCTCCCATGGGTTCAGTATGCCACAATACCCACCCATCTCATCTGCCACAGGACTCTCCCCTTTCGAGGTCTCACTTGGTTATCAGCCTCCCCTTTTTCTAGCTGAGGAGGCTGCCATTGCTGTGCCCTCTGTTCAGCATCACATCCGCCGTTGCAGAACCATCTGGAACAGACCCATGATGGCCCTCGGAAGATCGGCTGAACAGAACCGTAAATGGGCTGACCACAGGAGGAGGGTCGCCCCTACGTTTTCCAGAAGGTCTGGCTCACTACCCAGGACATCACATTAAAGGCCATGTTCAAAAAGATGTCTCTACGCTTCATTGGTCCTTATGAGGTGGAGAGGACCATTGGAGCATCCGCTATCCGTCTTCGTCCCCCCCACACTCCCCGGATTTACCCCACCTTTCACGTCTCTCAACTTTTGTGTTTTTCTCTCCCTCCACCACCAGGTGGTGCCCTGTCTTCGTTAAGTCCTCCTGCACACCTGCGGCTCATCACTGAGGACTATTTGAGCAGTGGAATGTCACTACCTCAATGCCAGAGTGTTTGCCAGTTTTGGGTATTCTAGCCAAGCTGAGATTAGCTGAGTCTAACTGAGTCTTTGATTCACTGAGCCCTGAGCCGTTGTTTTTTGGTTTTTGCCTTTCGGCAGGAAGCCATCCTGCAAGCTGGATGTTTCGCCTTGTTCCCCTGGAAGGATTGTTTTGAGTGTCACACTGAGCAGGGGATAACCTCCACACGTTCCGTTTAAGTTCTCCCGGAATTCCTAGTGACAGTCCGCTCCATTGCTCCTGGTCTGTGTGGTTTAATGACTGTACATATACAATGTTTTATTTTTGTTGTTTTACATATAAATATTTTTCATATTGAAACTAATGCAGTCTATGTTTATGGTTCAAAAGGTATTTCAGCAAGTTTTGGAACTTAATAAATCGACCGAGCCAGAGTCAGGATCCTATGTGTATGCCTCGTCCCTCAAGTCCCACCCCAAAACCAAATATCTATCTATCTATCTATCTATCTATCTATCTATCTATCCCAGATAGCAGACGGATGTGGGCCACTTCAGGCAACAATCCGGCACTGTAGGCATTCTTCTGGCACATACAAAACATATGTGAGCCTAAAGTTGCCCATATATGGAAAAACATGCATGGCCCACCTTGGCCAAACCACATTTGGGCCACATTTGGCCGGAAGTCGGCAAGTAAGCATAGACTAATCTGGATGTGAGCCTAGAGTGGCCCAGATATGAAAAAACGTACGTGGCCCACGTTTGCCAAAACATATTTGGGCCACTTTTGGCCGGAAGTCGGCAAATAAGCATCAACTAATCTGGATGTGAGCCTAAAGTGGCCCACATATGAAAAATGCACGTGGCCCACTTTGGCCAAAACACATTTGGGCCACTTTTGGCCGAACGTGGCAAATGAGCAGTCGACTATTCTGGATGTGGCTTCATAAAGTGGCCCTGTGTTGGTTGAAGGAAATTTTGTACATGGCCTACCTCTATTGCTAAAAACACATTGTGTGGGACACATGATGGCCGGATAGTCGCAAGTATGCATAGACTAATTGTGGATGTGGCATTAAAAGTGGCCAGTATGAAAAATCGTACGTGGCCCACGTTTTGGCCGGAAAATCGCATTAGTTGATAAAATATTATTTGGTGCCCACTCTTTTTGGATAGAGTTGGCAAATATAGGCATCCAACTACTCTAGATGTGAGGAACTAAAGTGCGTGCTTTACTCTCACGTCCACCCCAACGCCCCCTCCACACACACTATTTCTTCCAGTCCTCACCTTCCCAAAACCACATATTGAAATCTTATGTGTGGCCCCCTTGGCCAAGACTACATTTGGGCCACTTATTGGCCGAAAGTCGGCAAAATGAGCATCGACTATTCTGGATGTGTAGCCATGAAGTGGCCCACCATATGAAAAAAACGTACTTGGCCTCGTTTGCCAAAACACATTTGGGCCAACTTTTGGCCAAGAGTTGGCAAACTAAAGCATCAATAACTATGGATGTGAGCTAAAGTGGGCCCACATATGAAAAAACGTACTTGCCACGTTGCCGCAAAACAATGTTGGGCCACCTTTTGCGCGGAAGTCGGGCAAATAAGCATAATCTAATCTGGATGTGAGCCTAAAGTGGCCTCCACATATGAA